TTTTAAAAGTACATACCCATTACCTATAATATTTCAGTGCTTTAACTGAAGGAGGATGCGGAAGAAAGGAGTCTCTCTACAATTTAAAAAATATTTTTGCACCCCGCTTCCAATTATATCCTAGTCAATAAGACATTTCAATATTCAGGCACGAACATCTTTTTACAACCTTTACACTCTCTTTCTATTTTTCCCCCAATTCCAGCATTGAATTAGTTTTATTATATTATACGTTTTATAAAAATAAAAAGTAATGACTAAGAACGCAAAAAACAAAATAACCAATAACGTAGTATCACTGCGTTCTATATAATCTAAACGCAACACAGGTTATGACTAACGACGAAAACGACAGTATAGTGTCTGCAATAATAATTATTGTAGTAATGTCGATTTACCTAATTTAGTAATGTAGTTTGTATTTTGTAATAATACTATTGATAAGTAGTAACTACTACTAAAAATAATAATTACTAAAAAAACCTAGATCGAAATACAGGAAAGTTATATTTAAACTATACAATATATTAGAATAATTGAGCAGTTAAATATAAGACATGGTTGCAACTATTGCGAGGAGCACATATCGACAATAAATAGGTAAGTGTATTATTGTCTTCTTTTCCTTCGCCTTTTCTCCCAACTATTTGGGGTCAGCCACCCTGGTCATCAATTTTCACTTACTACAATCCTTAGCATCCTCCTCAAAAACAGAAGTCATTCTCATATCGCACTTTATAATTTCAAACCAACTATTTTTCGGTCTTCTTCTTCATCTTTTTCCATCTACGCACATGTTCTTTGTCACTGAAACTGCCTCAGATTTTTTCTTCTTAAAACATGTCCTAGCTATCTTAACTTATTCTCACACAATTTGCCAATTATTGGAGCCACTCCTATACTACATATTATATAGTCTATAATATTTCTTATTATCATCACTCCACTTATCCATCTTAACATTCTCATGTTAGGTAAGTGTATTATTGTATGATTAATAATTCATAACCTCAGTTTAAAATCATTAACAATACTTTAATAATATTTTGAATTGACATTCATAATAATATGTATTTACTATTTTGTACATTATCTAACATTCAAATAAAATATTAATTAAAAGTTATATTTTTTTTAAATTAAATAATTATTCTAATAATAAAAGTATAATATTATGCATTGTACCTGATGAATGATCTACATACATACTACTATTAATTAAACCATCTAACTATAATATGATATAATATTTTAATTTCTTTTCCTTTCATATTATAACTACTCACTTGACAACCGATTTTTGTTTTAATAAACAGATTAGTATCCAAGTGTTTATTTAATATTTTAAGGATAAATATACATACATATAATATTATCACATTTGAAATTTAAACAATTTGATTTATATTTTGAAGTAAATTAATAACTGTACCTATGAAATAATGTATGAAATAAGAGAAATGTTTAGAACCATTTTAATACTTAGTTTATTAAATTTAACCGAAATTACAATAAGTATTGATTCTTATAATTTTTGCGAACCCGATTACACAGGATTAAACAAATGTCACGATGGTGGTTGCAATAATAATAATATGTATGATACAGAAAACGTTTGCTTATGCAGTTTTTCTCAAAACGTGATGAATGGAAAATACTGTGGCATTTATGAAGATAAATGTACAATAAATCCATGCGTCAACAACGGTAAATGCATATCGGGCATAGGACATCATATATGTGAATGTAGCAATAGATTTCATGGTATCAACTGTGAAATTCCTATTGCAATAGGTAACTTAATTTCATTACTACTTAGAAACTAGTGTAAACGAATATAAGTTGTTTGAAATAATATTTGGAAAATATCCATTGAGTATTTGAAAAAAAATCGAACTTAATAACTTGTATAGATTGTACAAAAATTGTACATCTACCTACATCTAGTACCTATACCTATAATATTTCACATTAATTGAGTTCACTTATCATAAAATGTATAAAGAAATAAAAAAAATGTAATGGGTTATAGGTATAGAATGTATATTTATGAGATGTGTTAATGGGTTGTTTTAAATATAATTAAATTAGGCATACAGATAAAACGTTTCGTTTGATTACTTTTCTTATTTCCAACTAAATACTTGAGAAAATTTTAGAACTTATACACAATGAACTAATAATAATTATATTAATATTATTATTTATTACGATATAGTTTATATTTATTTGAGTTATACTACACTTTATTTTTTTGAAGGTGATACGATCAGTAAGATAAAAAAACTTTCATTATTTTATCGAATAAAATCCAAACACGGAGAAGAGTTACATCTATTGCTTGTATCCGATAACTTTGGAGATGAAAATTATAATGTAATCATTAAAGGTGCATTATGTAGTTTTCGATATAAATTGAGTGACTTTAAAAAAAAAATGAAAATTTCTGATGCAATTGAATTGTGTTCGAAAAAATTGGATTCTGCAGAATTTAAAGTGACTAATTGTAGTGGGCCTGATAACTATTATTGTCAAAATATGTGCCAATTTATTCAAAAAATATACGGTAGTGAAAAAAAAATTGAAGAAAAAATGTTAATAAATACTTAGCACAATTTTCAGGTACAGTCGAC